ATGTAATGAACCTGATTGGAATTCAAACTCAGCTCTCAGATTTCTTAATACAAGCAATTATCCAATCATATGGCATCATAGAATTGGCATTATTGAAATTTCTTCCAAATTGATGTATTTGTTCTGAAGGTGGAAAAGAAGAGATGAGAGCAAAATGGTAAATTGTAAAAGTTCTGTTTGAGAATTTTAAAAATATTAAATTTAAGCTGTTGAGCAAAGATTGCAATTGCATTCACCAGCAAGCAATGGTAGACTTTGCTTTCCCAGATTTACAGTGTTGGAGTTGCTTTTCTTTCATCTACAGAGATCCTATTTTGAAGGATCTCCCTGTGTTTTCATCACAAAACTGGCCTGCTTGCAAGACTGTTTTGAGTAACAGCATATCATCAAAAGCAAAAAACAAGCAAGCCAGCTAATAATTAGGACAAATCAAGCTACAACTCAAAAGAAGAGATGGTTGCTGCCTGATTGCAGAGAAGCTAAAATGGTTGACTCCTGCCTGTCACCTTTGTGTTCTTCATATCAGTGAGAAGTATGAAAAATTATCTGAAGATAAAAGAGCAACATGCTTCATGTGCTCTGTGTGTCGATGGTCACATACAATGCAAAAAGTGCCAATCCTTAAGATATCATTGGCTGGTGAATATTCATGAGTTCAGCATGTATTTAAGCATTTCTTTGAAGTGACAGGCAGTCCGCTGCATGCATTTGCTGATTGTGATTGGCTGTGATCTATGAGGAAACAATGATGGAGTTACTTATTCTTCCTCTGTGCCAACCCCATTTTAAAGTCTCTCTGTGTTTGCATCAGAAAATTAACCCATTCACAAGAACAATGACAATGTTAAAAATTTATATTTCTCAAGTAGTAAAAAAATGTCAATGAAGCTCCATTAAAAACATCATCCATTCAAGGAAACGTTTGCCAGGTATTTTTTTGAATTTTAATTTTTCATCTTTTTACATATATTGAATAGGCTAACCTATTCATGAATCTTGTCTTCCTGTAAATTTAAAGTGATTTTAATTATTCTTAGACTTTTTATACATTTCATAAAATGTTGAACTTCCTTTCTGATTGTATCATACTGTGGGGAAAATTGTGAAAATGGCTTACCTCGGAAACGCATGCGAATCTGTGCAGTGTGCAAACTCCGGTTCTCCCAACGGTAAAAGGAACCAAAATGGCGGCACCCATATTTTATGCCGGGCAGTCTCTGTTAGTTAATGCGAAATCTCATTGTCTCGTCATTCACATGCAAATCGTGGTCGGTCCTTGGCTGTATAAAGCATGTTCATTTTGCTGTTTCAGAGCAGAGAGCTTTTGGCTTGTGAGAAGGTTGGACGTGCGACACCGGTTTCTTTATTCCTACCTGCTATCATCCTTTGAGTTGTTGCGTTACCTCCCACAAGCTATTTCAGCAATGGATAAGTTCGATCTAAAATTGATCCAAGAATTCGACGGCTCCCCCACGGGCCTGACTATCGTCGAATGGTTTGAAAAGGCCGAACGTGTTTGCAGGGTGTCCAAAATAAAGGAACCTGCACTGGTTATCCCACTGAGACTCACGCCGTATATCAACAACTTGGGGACGATGCTGACCTAGAAGAGATCAAGGACGCCCTGTATACGGCCTTTGGAATAGACCCCCTTCATCGCTTGGAAACAGTTCGTCGGACAACGGCTCGAGCCGGGTGAGACCATGGATGTCTACCTGGCTGATTTGCAAAGGCTGGCAGTACCGTTTGGCGGGGCAATGGACCGCATACTGGGGTGCGCCTTCCAGGCAGGACTTCCCGACGACACCAGTCGGCTCCTGCGAGTGTCTTCAAGATTGGACACACTGGGAATTGATGAATTGCTAGCCATGGCCTGAAACATCTTGAAGGACATGAAACAGGTCGCGGCAGATGTGAGAATGCCTGAGACACCGCAGGAGGGCCCAAAGTGCTACAAGTGCGGTGGACCCAACCATTTCTCTAGGAACTGCCAGAGCCGAAGTGACATAGGAGGTGGGAGCAGCCGACAGAACCGAGCACGACTATGCTGCTATCATTGTCAACGTGTACGTTGAGGGTAAACGATGTTCAGTGCTCATTGACACTGGTTGTTCCCGAGAGATCGTTAGTGCGGATCGATGTGTGACATGGAGCAGTCAACAAATCGAGATTCAGACGATTGACAGAGTGTCCCGGGCCTGTTGTTGTGTCGGGACTGTATCAGTCCTCACAGACTGAGGGAATCATGCCAAGGTCGACGTTTTGGTGGCACGTCAAAGGCCCCTCGGGTACAACCTGCTGCTTGGAATTGATGCGATCCGAGTGTTAGGAGGCATGATAATCACGCCAGCTGGAAATGTGGAACTGGGTAAAAGGAAGAAAGGTGTGTGCAGCCCTTTGCATTAGTGAGCTGGATTTCGGCGTCTCTTTCAATTCCGAAGAGAGGGTGTGGACCGCCAGGTGGAAATGAGCCCAAAAAGACCCACCAGTTCAGCTTCGCAACAAGGTCGCAGAGTACAAAGTTCCCGACAGCATCAGAGGAAAATATGAGAAAGAGCTTCAGCAGTGGATTGTGAATGGCTGGTTGATTCAGTACCCCCAGGAAAGACTGGGACCCCCAAAGGGTCTGATTCCCTTGATGGCAGTCGTGCAGGAGCAGAAACAGAAGGTGCGTCCGGTACTCGATTACCGTGAATTGAACAACTTTGTGGATGCTTTTACTGCCGATGCAGAAGTGTGCACACATGAGTTGAAAACGTGGCGGTGGCAGGGGGTCAATGTGTCACTTCTGGATCTGCGGAACGCATATCTTCAGATTCACATCGATGAAGCGCTGTGGCCATTTCAAACGGTTATTTTCAAAGGCCAATGCTTCTGTCTTATGCGGCTAGGATTTGGGCTAAATGTAGCGCCACTCATCAAGAAAAACCGTTATAGACGCCATTGCATCGCAAGACCGCACAATTGAAAGTGCCACATCTGCATACGTTGATGATATCTTCATTAATGAAAGTTTGACCTCTGCATCGCGTGTAAGACAACACTTTTCAGATTACAGAACATAAGGGCGGCTGGCGAGATGCTGGTTAGGCAACGGCTGGGCATTTTGCGATCGCTGGTGGAAAAATATGGATTGACCAAGACGTGACACTCATACAGTCCTGTCAGAACCGTGCAGATCGCCTCACCAGAGTACCACACAGGTGGCTAGAACTGCTCAAGAGAGGAGAACCGGCACTCGGGAGCTGTGCAGTGGTAGGGAGACGACTGGACGAGGACCAGGTTGCCAATACCCATCGTCAATGCGAACATCCGGGCGTGAAACGAACTCTGTACTTCGCCAGGTTAGTCGACCCGCAGGTGTCCAGAGAAAGCGTTAAATCCGTTGTGAAGTCGATCGATCCGGCACCCGTTCACTGGGAAAGAGGAGAACTGAGCGTGAAGAGCAACTGGAGCAGACTGGCGATGGACATAACTCACTACAATGGGGAGAATTTTTTAACGCTTATTGATTGCGGTCCCTGCAGGCTTGCGGTATGGCAGCCGCTGCGCAGACAAGACACGAGCACTGTCATTCGACTGTTGGAGAATGTTTTCCTGGAGCGAGGCCCACCCGTGGAAATACTGACGGACAACAATACTGCATTCACCAGTAAAGACTTGAAAGAATTTGCGGACAATTGGGACGTGCATCTGTGGTTTCGATGTGCCTACTTGCCAAGTGGAAACGGCATTGTAGAGCGGAACCACAGAACCATCAAGACCATCACAACCAGGAAGGGCTGTACAGTATCGGAGGCAGTTTACTGGTATAATGTTGCCCCGAAAGATAACGTTTCACCATCCACGGCGCCGGCTGATGCACTGCACAAATATCATGTCCATGTGAAAGGCATCGAAGCCAACCCACCGCCTGAACTAGAAGTGACTGGAGGGAGATTGAAAAAAGGAGACGTTGTTTGGGTCAAAAACCCACGCGGCAAGTGTACGACAAAATACGGCACTGGACGTGTTACGGAGGTGATCAGCCCACAATCTGTGAGAGTTGATGAGGTGCCTCGTCACATTAAAGACTTGCGACCGATGATGCAATCACTACCATTACTGAGCGATGAAAGCGATTCCAAGTCTGAGAGTAGTGAGCGTTCGATCTGCCTTGAGTTAGACCTGCAGGGCAGTGATTCTGATATCAGCAGCCTCCCAGCGGACACAGTGTTTACCGACACTCAAACCACAGACGAGAACACGCATGAGGATGAAGCTTGTGTTGTCCCCCCTTCAAAAGGGGGATTTGACGGTGACGATCGCCACCTCCTTGCCCTGTTTGTGATCATGAGATCAGGGGGGAGTGTGGGGAAAATTGTGAAAATGGCTTACCTCGGAAACGCATGCGAATCTGTGCAGTGTGCAAACTCCGGTTCTCCCAACGGTAAAAGGAACCAAAATGGCGGTGCCCATATTTTATGCCGGGCGGTCTCGGTTAGTTAACGCGAAATCTCGTTGTCTCGTCATTCACATGCAAATCATGGTTGGTCCTCAGCTGTATAAAGCAGGCTCGTTTTGCCGTTTCAGATCAGAGAGCTTTTGGTTCATGAGAAGGTTGGACGTGCAACACCGGTTTCTTTGTTCCTAACTGCTATCATCAGTTAAGTTGTTGTGTTACCTCCCACACATACAATTATATTTTCTATGCTTTTCATCAATTAGTATAAACAAACTGACTCATTAATTCTACAATATCTTCTAAAATGTTCTTAATTTATGATGAATAAATTGATTTTTTTGGTACATTTCATTGGTAGATGCGATTAGTTTTGTTTTTTCTTTGTGCATTTATGAAAATAAGTTAATAACTTATATAGTTGTGCAGTGCTTCCTAATATTGAGTAGGAGTGGCTAATTAACTGGAGATTACTAACAAATTCCTTGCTAAAACTGTTCTTGGTAATTGTTATTTGATATTAATTTAGGTTCCCACATATCCAACCAAGAGTCAATACTGAAAACACCAGTTCTCATTCAATCACTGGAGTTAAGCGGCATTAAGCCTGGTCAGTACTTAGATGGGGGACCACTTGGGATCACCAGGTACTGTAAGCAACCTCATATAATCTAAAATATGTTTCAGCTTTAAATAACCTACAAAGGGTTGATAAGCTATAAAAATAAATCAATCAATCAATCACACATCTTTTCCCCCAGATATGTACTCCAGTTGCATTTCTACCAGACCTATGATAGGTATTTCCTTGGGTTCACCCGATTCAAATATGAATTCAATAAAAAACTTGTGGGCCATCCTTAAAAAGTGATGTGGATGAGAATGAAAATCTATTCAATCAAAAAAGATCATGAGCAAGCAATAAAAACTGCATGTTAAAATTGATACAATAGTAAAGCAAAGAAAAACAATGAATGAAAGAATCGTAAAGGTGACCATATCAACATATAAAATTAGAATTTATTCTGGTCTATACAATATTGCATTATTCAAAGATATTTTGTTCTTGACTAAATCTTTTAAAATTATTTAGAAATGTGTTATGTTGCACTTTGTTTGCCTAATGAAATGAGACACACCATGAAAACAAGATATGTTCAATATTTTCCATTACAACTCATATGATATATATTGTTTATCTAAATATACCCGAAAATGTTTACCAATATCAATTGCTTAATAGCAATTTTATTATGAAAACATTGACTTGTCTAATAAAATCCTAGTGTGTGTGTGTGTGTGTGTGTGCATGTGTATATATAACTGAAATACTTCCTCCACAATATTGTAGACTGCACATCAATATGAGATATTATTCTCATGTTGCTTTTATGAACCTACTCTTCAATGCTGGCTCAAGGCATGTCAGAAAAGAGACTTTCAAGATTTTCTCACAGTAGGTTGACCTTTCTGTGATAGACTACAGAACACAGTCTATTCTGTTATTCATCCCATAGCTGGAGGGAGAAGAGATGAAGTCATACTTTTCCCCAAAGCCTAATATAATGAACTTGACTGGAATTCAAACTCAGCTCCTTGAATTCTCATTTCAATCCCATATTCATTACACCACACACACATCCTATGGTCTGAAGATTGCACTCAAGCATGAAACAGATTGTCACCTCTCAGTGTTGACCTCAGTGTGCACTTAAATATATAAAATATATATATATATATATATATATATATATATATAAGATATTACACCAAAAACTTGTCAAAATTGCTACACAATTGCAGTTGTGTTTCAATGCATATCAACACATCTCATCAGGTGATTGTAAACTACTGGTGAGTGAATAATTTTAGATTTAAAAGCAAATTACAACCTCTTTTTATGAAAAAAGAAAAAAGGTGACCCAGGGTTATGATTTTTGTGGCCTTTACTCAAATATGACTTATGTTAAATTTAAACTAAGCAAAGAAGTAAAAATTCATAATTATTTTTTATAAATAGGTCCTGACCCACAGATTGGCAGCCAAACAGTAAACTAAAGCAGATGTAAATGGATACATAAATTATGCAAATTAGACAATGCCATTTCCTAAGAAATAAAAATGGGGTGGAGATGTAATTTAACAAAATGCTAAAAATGTTATATGCTTTGTGAATTTTCTACATAAAATCTTTTATAGTTGATCAATAAACAGCTTTTTTAAGAAACTAATAAATAATTTAAACATATAGAATTATTTGGTAAATTAATATGCAACTGTTGAATAAAGATTCTTCATATAAGCTGTTAATAACACAAACCAGTCGATGTAAAATGTCAAAAATACCAACCAAACAGCAATACATCCATACAAGATATTACTAATACTACCAGGAGATTAATACAAAATTATATTAAATGCAAATTAATCTTATGAATAGAAAGAGAAGCCATATATGGTGCAACACAGTACAGCTAAAATATAAAAAAAAAACAATCAAATTCCAAAGTTTAACTAAATTGTAAGGTAAAAGGTAAACTTTGTTTACAATTTACTGCTAATTTATTCCTTTGATTTATTAAGAAATTTTTATTGAATTTGATAATTTCCAATTTTTCATGTAAGCAGAGAAAATCGGGTTCATATAAAGATTGAGATGTCCTTGCCATTTTAAAAATTTTCCCATTTCACCTTAGGAGGCATATTGTCATTTTTTAAACTCCAAAAATATTTTGAAAGTGATGTATTATTTCTGTAACTACTATTGGTGAAGGACAATATATGTTGAAACCACCTAGTCTTAAAGAATTCTTAGTACTACCAATATAGAACTTTTCAACCACCGGATTCTCTATTGTAGAGATAGTACAAAGATAAGAGATTTAGTTAAACATTTGTTTGGCAGTGAGCATTGGTCAGAATTCCTTCCCTTGAAATCTATCCTATGAGTATCAAATTTTCCAAACCCCTTTCCTTATTATGTACTCTAGAAATTTCAGTTGACTCTGATGTTAAGTATAAGTGTCCTTTTTGTTTCCATTTTCTCTAAAACTTTGTTGTTGCTCACGTGTTCAGTTCATGGTATTCTTAGCATCCTTCTGTAAAATCACATTTTTGTTGCTTCACGTCTCTTTTTTTTTTTTTTATCTATGAGGGGATTGTCCATCAGTCACTGCCATATAAGGAGGACTTTCAGCTTCAGAATAATGTTAGATAGGTTTACCCAAATTTATAGGTTCACATATTTGCAAGTCAATATTTAAGGATACTAAGACCCCACTTAAAATATTTCAGAAATGAAAAATATAAACCAAGGAAAAATGGAAGAATATTTTAATGGACTGGATAGATTTAAATAGTGTCCAAAGATACTAAAATGATATTTGGAAAGTTTGAATATATTAACACTAATTTGCCCAGGTGTTTACCCACACTCTTCTTTGTCTGTTGTCATGACATGCGGGTGACAAGCATGTTTTGTCTAAATATCCAGCCGGGGGACAGTGGGGCAGGGTAAAGTGGATTCATGCTTTTTACAAGGTCGTTTATGACAAGTAAATAAAAATAGCATCAGAAAGATTATGAACCGACATAGTTGCCTATTTCAGTTTTGCATGCATTTTATCATTATACTACGTTACCATGGTACAATCGACTCTTTCAGTTCAGTCGGGTTGGCTAAGATTTTAAAATCTGTTTATGTTTGGTCAGTTAAATATTTAATCCCAAGAAAAAAGAAACATTAATTGACCAAAATAAAAGGTGACAAAAATTCTTCTTTAAAGAGCATCCACTCAACTCACTTATTTCAATAGCATCAGGTGTACCATATACACAAGGGATTTCAGACTACACAAAGATGTGCAGCTCTCCAGCACACAGACAAGCATATCTATGACATCTTTGCCACACCCTTTTTAAACCCAAATGAAAAAAAAAAGGATTGAAATTAAACTTTTCTATTTGATATTTTAAGCACTAAAAATTTCACCAAAATTTTGAAAAGTAAAGTAGAGCAAATCCATACAGTCTTCATATTGATTGCTGATAAACACTTGTTTGAACAATAGATTTTCTAATTAAGAATTTGGTAAAATAAAACAGATGTCAAAACTCTAAGGCAAATTATTCCAGGGTGTAAAGGGTTCATTCAATCTGTGAAAGAAGGAAAATGTTTTGCTCCAATAAAAGACAATAAGCCAAATATCAAAACGTGATTTACCTGCCCTTTGTTACTGAATTATCCTCAAGTGTAATTTGATGACAACTTCTGTTGAGACAACATATTCTTAGTTATGGGGCTGAAGTTTCAGAAAGGTTTTGCCAGTTATAAAAATTAAAGTCCATTGTTTTACCAATCAATGATTCAAAAGCATCATGATCTGATTATTCTTACAAGTAGGATTTTGCCAATAATACTTTAAACTCCATCCCCAGACTCCATCCCAAGACATGTTAAACAAATCAGATCAATATTTTCCTTCACTGAAAGATCAAGGCTGAATTTTTTTCTTTCTCAGGCCACAAATCTGAAAAATCTTTACAACTGACTTCTACTGATAGAAAGGAAAAAAAAAAACTGACAGCAAATTAAATCTGTATTCAAAACTTTGCTGTTTATTTTTCACATGTTATAGCATGCAAAACTTGATTCATGTTAGAGAGAATGCCATTAACATGGCTTGGGTCCAGGATAATACAGCCAAGAAGCAAGTTGTTGGATTACCAAACATGTGAGAGTGCAGGGTAGTAGGTCATTTTTGCTAACCCTTTGCAAGCATTCATTCATCTCTCCTGAACTTTGGTGATGTTTTGAGTGATTGAAACCAGTGAATTTTGTAACAAGATGATCCCAGACAGTAAATATACATCACACTACAGCCATGCACCTCCCACACACACACACACACACACACACATACACATACATATATATATATATATTAAGCATTTGTCAGTCTCAGGATAATGTGGAGACTGCTAGGATGACTGGCTAATCATTACTGCAGTTGTCTGCTCAGGCACAATCTGATGTTTTCTCAACACCCACATAAACACATTTATACTGCGACAATACTGAACAGACCTAGGTTATAGTTTCTGGGAGATAGTGCATAATATAGCATCATCATTAGCTGAACAAGGCCAGTGCATTGGGCAGCATTTAAGCAAGCTTCTGCAGAGCACTGTTTAATGTGCCTTCATCACAATAGATAGGGAGGAGTAGATGCGATACACAACAATAAACTACAGAAGAACTCAAAATTTATTGCTACATTTAAGTATTGCATTAAGCTTACATTTTAAAAGTTTGGCAATATGTCTTCTGCCGCCACTTCATTCAAAAACATTGATGTATGTAGGTCCTTACTTACATATGAACAATTATTTGTATTTCATTAGTGATTTTGCTGGACTTTACAATTAATTTCAATTACACCCAAATTTACTTCCATGTTATTAAAATTTTTAACAAAAAGTCACAAAAAAAATCTCTGAAAACAATTGCAGTAATGAAAATTTGGGAAACCAAAATTTCAGGATTGGGATCCAGACCAATCTTGGAATTTTTTAATTTACTCAGAGTCAGCCTGATTCCAAAATAGTATGATATGTTAGGCTGCAGCCTCAAGGAGCAAAGTCGAAAAAGTGTGACA